ACAATATATACAATGCTTACTCTCTTTAACAAGCTCAGGGAGTTATAAACTAATAATACTACGATACTTCTATGAAACTGTAGACAGGTTGTTTTTGTTTTCTGTTGTAGAATATGACCGTTGTCATTACTCACAAAACTCAGCGAGAGTGGGAAATCAACATGTTAATTTGTTTTTTCCAAATTCGGCATATTCGGAACGTTTCCCCAACAAATAATGGAAATGAATTTTTAGAATCAACAGTCGTCCAATAGAGCGTTCCAAAGTAAAAGGCAGAGGAGGTGGGGCGAGCCAAGTTGGTTCTAGGTCATGCATTTATATACAAATTTATTTTGTGACGTTAAAACAGAACCTAGAAACCTAGGTGGCCCCGCGACAGCGGGTTATCACCCCGACAAGGGTTCTGGGCCCATCCTCCTGCACGCTTTCGGGGTGCGGGACAGGGGACCACAGTGGAGCCGGGCGCAGTGTAGGGCTCCCGGGTACCGCCGCCCCAGATGTCAGCAGCCACAGCGCTCCCTGCTCCCTGTCTGGCGTGTGGCGGCCGGCTCCCAGTCCACAGCGCGCTGGCTGAGCCACCAGGGAGGCCGTGGTTCACTCACCCAACGTGGGCGCCTGGGGATCCACCGCAAACGCTGCCATCGCAACGGCTGCCTCTACTCCAGCAAGGATCTTTCCCAGTTTTCAAAAATGGCGGAAACTCTTCTGACCGTAAGAGCCGCGCGGCCTTATGGGTTGCGTAACTTCCGACCATGCTCTCTGCGGAGGCTGTAGACACTTCAGCCATTTTGAAAGAGGGCAGACTTCTTTACTCTGGGATTCTAAGGTTTTGTGAGGATACAGGGAGCAATGTGAGATCTCTGGTTCTAAGACTGGCAAGCCTCCTGATATGTTGTTGTTTATGCTTCATGCAAACAGATTCCTTTGCTTTCTTGATAATTAGTGTGATTTTGCATCGACTTTTCTAACACTTGTTAAAATAGGTTTAATAAACTATATATTCCTTTTTTTCAAACTTGATTCCTGTTCTTCATATAGGTCTTTCGTTTCTCAAAGTATGTTTACCATCCTCTATATGTCATTTCTCTCAAGTGGTGTTATATAAGAGTAATTTTACATTAAAGCATAATCATAGTTTATTACATCAAATAAATATAAATTTAAAATATGATTTTTTTAAGAAAGGATAAGAAAAACTCTGGAACTACATGCCATTCTGCCCATGACATCCCTGTGTTCTCCTTTTCACGCTGCTACCTTTCCTTAGAGTATATTCATTTATTTATGTGTGTGTAAAAATACATTTAGTTTTGGCTAGATGGTAGTGGCACATGCCTTTAATCCCAGCACTTGGGAGATAGAGGCAGGCAGATCTCTGAGTTCAAGATCAGACAGGTCCACAGGGCAGTTCCAGGACAACCAGGGTTACACAAAGAATTCTATCTCAAATAATAATAATAATAGTAATAATGCAAAGGTCAACAGCCTTAAGCCTGATACTGTGTTAAATTTGTTAGTCACCATAAGAGAGTCGGGTATAAATCATTACACAGGCTTGACCACTCTGGAAAGTGTTAGTAATGACTAGGACACAGTGGTTTCTTCCTGGACAGACAATACAACAGTGCCATCGGGTTAGAGCTGGCTGTCATATCTTCACATTAATGATTCTAACTTTGAATGACAGATTGATAGAATTCAATTTTGTTTGGTTTGGTTAAGACCTGTTTACTCTGCATAGTCCTGGCTGTCCTGGAACTTACTATGTAAACCAGGCTGGCCTCCCTGATTCTGCCTCCAGAGTACTGGAATTAAAGGTGTGCACCACCACCACCCAGCCAGAATTAAAATTTTAAAACCACTTATAGGTTCAATTTATTTTTTTTTTTAAAAAAAGTGTGCTGAGTGCAATGCTGTACACCTTTAATCCCCGCACTCAGGAGGCAGAGGCAAGTGGATCTCTGCAAGTTCAAAGTCATCCTGGTCTGTACGTAGTGAGTTCCAGGAGAGCAAGAGATACATAGACCCTGTCCCCCACACCCCACCCCAAAAAATAAATAGATAGATAGATAGATAGATAGATAGATAGATAGATAGATAGATAGATAAATTTTTAAAAATGAGTGTGAGTTGTATATACCAAAAGTTACATATCTTAATCTTATATATATGAATGAGTGTTTACTCAACAATGGTCTTTACAGACACAAAATCACATTAAGTTTTTGCTGGATCATCAACTAATTGGTAACTTTAAGCATCACAAAAAAATTTTTTGAGGCCAGAAATACAAACTATGTTTTAAAGGGCTCCTATCAAGGCAGAAATTGGACTGATTTCTTTGGAGATACAAGAAGAACATGTGTTTCCTTCCACTTTTTAAAGACTATACTTATCATTTGGCTGCTTGCACCACACCTGTCCAGTCAAAGCCAGAGGCACAGCATATTCTCTCTCTTCCTCTCCCCCCCACTTCTTCCTAAAGCTATTATCATGTGACTAACACCACCATAATGACACATGTCTCTCTGCCTCTTATCTAATGGTTCTTAGGGCTCACTCTCAACCCAAATGACCCACTTGAGGTAATTAAGTCAATAATCACATCAGTACAACACTTGTGGATGTTTTGGAGAAAAGGGGCCATTATCTTTTCTTTCTTATTTTCATTTTATCAGTAAATACGTGAAAAAATAATTACAAGTTAAAACAAATATTAAACAAAGAATAATTATCTGGTATAACTTATTTGATACAATTTTGCATGTTTCAATATTTTTCTTTTAAAGATTTATTTATGTATACAGCGTTCTGCCTGCATGTACGCTGGCAGGCCAGAAGAGGGCATCAGATCTCATTATAGATGGTCATGAGCCACTATGTGGTTGCTGGGAATTGAACTTAAGGATCTCTGCAAGAACAACCAGTGCTCTTAACCTCTCAGCATCTCTCCAACCCAAGATTTTTCAATCATAAGCTTTGTACTTTAGTTCTATCAGAAGTGCTTATTATCATAAACAAAGATTCATTTTTTTATGTTATGAGAGTTTCAAAACTTGGATTATGTTATATGAGAAACACTTGTCACTCTTGAAGATTTTTGTTTGTTTGGTTGGTTGGTTTGGTTTGGTTTAGATTGGTTTAGTTTGGGGTTTTTTGGCTTTTAGAGACAAGGTTTTTCTGTGTAGCCTCGGCTGTGCTGGAACTTACTCTATAGACCAAACTGGCCTCCAATTCAGAGATCTGCCTGCCTCTGCCTCTAGAATGGTGGGATTAAAGATGTGATCTACCACCAGCCAGCTTAGATTAGCATCTCAATTACAATGCTTGTCTTTCTCTTTTCTCCTCTGAACCTGTTGAAGGAAATGCCACATAGACTTCCTCCACATCTATTCTGAATTACTAGTTTACCCAGGACATGAGATCTCAACAACAAACGCTTGTTTGTACTCTAGATTTTCAAGCTTAGATGGAGAATTCTTTCTTCAAAGCATGGTGCACATGTCTAAGCAACACAGGAGTACTGCTCTAGTTACAGAAAAATACAGAAACTGTTCAGGTCAGACCAACTCAGGGTTCTTGCCCACCAGCCTGTCATTTAACAGTACAGGAAACACAGGTGAGAAACTTGGTCTACAAAGAATTCAACTTGAAAATTAATTCAAGGCTGGATGTACAAGAACTTTCTTCTAAAATCAAGTTTTGAAATTTCAGAAATACATCTAAATGTATTCACCTTTAATTGATACAGTGGTTAAACTTTTGTGTATCTATCACATATACTCGTAATTCATCAACGTAATTAAACATCTATTAACATATTCATATACAAATATAAAATGAAGCTCTTAAGGTAACTGTCTATTTTGTAATTATAAAAAACATAATTTTTAAAAAGTCAAAGTGAGGGCAGAGAGATGGCTCAGTGGTTAAGAACATCTGCTGCTCTTCCAAAGAACCAGAGTTCCATTCCCAGCACCTACACTAGGCAGTTCACAGCCACCAATAACTCCAGCTCCAGGGGAATCAGAGGCCAGAGCTGTGGGCACCTGCACTCTCATGCACTTATCACACACATACATAGAATTAAAAATAATTTAAAAATTAAAAACAAAAACAAGGAGAAATGATATCCACCTTTTGCAAGAGTTAGGGAAAAAGATGGAATTTGTCTTCTTCAGACAGAGATCAAAGGGAGGAAACATCATGCCAGTGCTTGTCAACTCTGCCTTTGGCAGTTTATACATACATCACAGGCTGTCACTCACCTAGACTGTGATGTTACATAATGCACTCACATGACTTCACAGTGGCCAAGATCAAATGATCTCCACAAGATTCATGATTTAAAGCATAAGGACCACCTCAACAAAAATACAAACTCCACAGTTGGTAACGTGTTTTGGGGCTCTATAAACAATAATAGCAGGAGCTGTATCTCTAAGTGTCTTTGAATAATCAGTTACAAACAGAAACATGGTGGTTTGCTGATGGTCTCATTATAGAAAACAACTGACAGAAAAGATAAAGACAGACATCAGTGAAACATGAGCTCAGCTAATTTGCCTGCTCATTTCTTAACCAACTAAATGGATCCTTTTGCTTTTTGAAAGCAAAGAGTAATTTTCAGACTTAAATAACTTTCCTGCGCAATTTTGTCTTCTGGTCTTGTATTCAAATACCAGTTAGGTTTAATTGGATATGATAAAGGCTCAAAGAAGTTATAACAGTCAAAACAGACTTCAGGGAAAGGAGAGTCTTGACAGAGTTACATCTGGAATTTACCTTGAGGGGACGTGTTCATGTGTTCAGGAGGGAGAAGAAAGGATGATTGACAGGAAGCAAGAATTGTGGTGATAAGTATGCTATTTTCTATAATTTTGTTTGAAATTTTCTCTCATCTTTTAAATACGCCCAAATTCTAAGACATTCAAAAGTCATGCATTTTTGTCTCCACTTATGTGAAAACTATTAGTGAAAAATCAATGCAGCAACTACTGTTTGCCTGATAATTACTTTTATTTAGCAAACAGGTATTTTGCGGAGGACTTTGAATAGTTAATAATCAGGGGTACTGGTAAGTCAAGGATTTAGTTTATCCATCTGAATCATAGAAAGTTTAGTGTTGACCTTATATGTAATACATTGGTTTATTCACCCCAAAATAAGGATGTTATTGCCTTATCAGTAATTCAGCAAGTTACATAGCAACAAAGACAACCAGTCTGGCTTCTCCCATCACTCACTCTACCAAACTGATCTTTCCAAGGACAACAGTCACCTCCATGATGCTGAGCCCAGACACCTTCCGTGAATATTTATCCCATGTAAGGTTTCAGGATCATCTGTTCTTACTTAGTATGCAGTTTGAAGACCTCCTTTGGTTCCTCTGACAGTGTGCTTTGTTTGCTCTCTTCTCTCTCTGGCCATATCTCTTTTCTTGGCCCACCCTCCATCTAGCCATTAAATGTGGTTGTTCTTCAAGGCCCAGTTTTAATACCTTCAGTTTTACTGTAAACCTTTTCTTGTGTGATGCTATCCATTTCTGCTGCCAATTCATACCAATGCCCAAATGTACCACCACCAAGTTACCCTTTTGACATACTCACTTGACCTGGGTATCTCAAAGATACCTCAAATCAAATATAAAGGGCCAACTTAGGAATGAATATTTATCCCTAAGAATGGTACCACCAGTTCTCTAATTATTAAAGCTAGAAACCTTGGGATGATTTTTGAAAATGCCTTTTTTCAATAAAATTCAATGCCAAGGCTTGTAAGTTCTAGTCTGTAAATATTTTTCAGAGTACCCACTTCTTTCCTTTTTGTAAGATTTATTTTTATTATTTCAATTATGTGTAGGTGTGTGTATGTGTGCATGTGTGTTTGTATGTGGGTATTTGCAAGTGTGTGCAGGTGCCTGTCCAGCCAATGGCTGGTCATATGACCTGGAACCGGAGCTGCAGTTACACACTGCTGTGAGTTACCCGATGATTGTGCTGGGAACCACACTCTGGTCCTCTGACAGGGCAGTAAGTGCTCTTACCCACTGAGCCCTCTCTCTAGCTTCCACTTCCTTCCATCTTTACTGTATCAACTAAATCTATCGTCGCCACTAGAAACCTGGACCTAACCTCCTTGCTGGTCTTGCTTTTCCTCCTAATTCACTCTAGGCAACACAACCAAATTAAACCTTTAGACAAACACTCTAAAGATTAGGGATATAGCTCAGTTGGTAGAGTGCCTGCCTAGCGTGCAAGAAACCCAGCACCAACCATGTAACCAGGGCTTAGTGGTCACAACAGCAAGTAGGAGCCCACCTTTTACACATTAGACCCCATCTCAAATGAGAAATACCATTTTTTAAAGCTGGAGAAATGGTTCAGCGGTTAAAAGCACTGGCTGATCTTCCAGGACCTCAGCTCAATTCTCTGTACCCACATGGCAGCTCACGGCTGTATGAAATTCCAGACCCATAGAATCCAATGCCCTCTGCTGGCCTCCGTGGACACCTCATGCTCATGGTGCACAGAAACACATGCAGGTGAAATACCTATATACACAAAATAAAAATGAAAATAAGCAATAACAGCAAAGCATTCTAAGCAAATTCCCAATTACAACCTCTCAATCTTCTCACCAATCCAAAAGACTAGCATCCTGAATCTCTGCCAAGCTCCCACTTGACAAGCCAACAGTCACCTTCGCAAACAGCATCTCATGGCCTCCGGCTCACCGCTCCCCCATCTCAGCACTTCCATTTCTCCAGTGTTCAGTGCTCCCCCTCAGTCCTTGGCCTTTACATACATTCTTGATTCAACTCTGAAAAATCTGCCACAGCCCACTCACCTTCAGTCAACGCCCACTTATCTTTTTAGTACTTATCACAAATGTCACTCAAAAGGCATGAAAGAATTCCCTCATAACTAGATAAAGTTAAGATTTGCAGTATGTACTTACATAAAATTTTAAAAGATTTATTCCTCTGTGTGTGTGTGTGTGTGTTGCTGACGATGGAAACCAGGGCCTTTTACAAAGTAAGCATGAACTCTACCATTTGATCTGCAATCCCCTGCCCCAAGTTCAAAGCCTTGGAGCATATTTATAATATACATAATTCAACTTGGTTAATAGAAACATTAAAGAAAAAAAACTCTTCAAAGTATTCTTCTAGGAAACAGTGTGTACAATGGTAAGCATCCCAATAATGTTTACAATTTTTATAGGTTCATAATTTTTTCCTAAAAAATGTTTTCCAGCAGAATACTGAAATATAAAATAGATCAATCTTAAGACTACATCTTTAACAAGGACATCAAACAGCTAGAAACTGACATAACTAATCTGAAGAAATCCCTCATTCCGCTGTCTGAAGTGATCTCCAAAAATTGCAAAGGACTCTATTGGACTTGATTCATACTTTTACAATAGAAAAGACTGTGTACAGCTCTTGACTGTGTACTGCACTTAAAGAAAAACGTTGCTTTTACATAGACAAGACAGGGATGGTTAAAAAGGTCAGAGAAGGCCCTGAGAAAAGACAGAGAGAGAAAGAGGAAGATGAGAGCTTATACAAGAAGTGGTTCTCAACCTCTCCATGGTTGTCAACCCTACTTCCTCCCATCTTGGGACCATTAATTGGGTTATTTTTGCTCATTTCTTTTGGTCCCTGGGCCTTAAATAAGCTCACTAACTTTGTGAAACAACAGATAGATAATTTGGTAGCAAAACCTATTCAGATACATTATCATAAGTTAGCTATGGAGAACCATGAGACTCAAGATGAGGTTGTTACTCTATCCAGGGTGTTCCCAAAACCCATCTCCACCCAACCAAAAAGAAGGGACTTCCGCCCCTAGACCAAGCAGAGAGGGGTCACCCAGAACCCCCTCTGACTGGTGATCTGAATTCTTGATTAGGCTTTGAGGCTAAGTACTGCAAGGGAATATAAATAGAAGTTAAAAATATTTCTCTGGGTTTTCTGAGGGACAAGCCTGACTGCATAGGGGTTAATGTCAAAAGTATCCCCTCTCCAGGAAAAAGACATTAGGATGGGTATGGCCCTCATGCCTCACTGGACAACGACAGGGGGACCAGAGCCATTACAAGGTCCCCTTCAATTATTGGAGGTCAGGCCTCTATCCCCGCCTTTGCAAGATTAGAATCGCCATGGCCCTTCTATACTTGGAGAAGGGAGGAGGTGTCAGGGGCAGCCCTGTTTATACACTAAAGGCCTAAAATCAGCCATAGGCCTAAAATCAGCAATAGGGCTGTCATGCATGTATACTAACACCAAGTCTTGGGTCTCTGTGGAAAAACACTGAAACAGATGGCTGTAAGCTATTGAAAACAGGCAGCTTTTGTGGAAATTTACCAGCCTGAGTAGTCATAGACTTTGTAAATAGGTAGCCTTGGTGGATAATACCAACTTAGATAAGGACAAGTGAGTCATAGGCAGAGTCACAGTGACCTGTCCCCTGAACCTTCACCCAGTGGATACCCTGTTCTGAAAGATATCTGTACTCCACCTGAACAGCCATGCTCTGGTGTCATCCCCTTCCCCACGTCCTGCCTTTTTGTGTTTATAACGCCTATGTGAATAAGTAAAAATTATGATTTGATTTAAAAAAAAAAGCCAGCTGAATAGATTGTAAAAGCAAAAAAATAAAATAAAAGTAATGTCCCTACATGCAAACAAATAAAATTCTTGTTTCATATTAAAAAAAAAAAGATTACATCTTTAAAAATCGTCTCTCGCTCTAAGGCAATTTTTAGGGATCCAAGAAAACCAAACGAGTGTGGCAGGTGACCCCTAAACAGAACACTTAGCACTCAAGTTAAAACCTTGAAGCGTGGGGGAGTGGGTGGGAGAGCACCCTCTCAGAGGCAAAGGGGAGGAGGGATGGGGGCAACATTTGGAATATAAATAAAATAATTTAATAAAAAAAGTTGAAGTTTTAAAAAACACAGTATAAATGATAACACCTAATTTTTAAAAAAATCTAAAATCTTCTGAATATCTACACAATCACTTGAAGAATACAAGAGAAATATGTGTAATAGGACCAAATTTAAAAGTCAAAAATAACCATTATATAAATGTTTATATAAGCCTTTCGATTCTGGTACTCTTGCGGGGGGGGGAGGGGGGGAGACTAAAGGTATTATTTTTAACCTTAAAAATATTCTCAAAACGTTTACTTCCCTTTGAAATGGTAAGTCTTCACTTAGTAAGTCTATCATCACTTCCAAGATTCTCAGTTCAGAAAGAAAATGAGAGACGTAGGAGTTAAAAGGCTTCATGGCTTGTTTTTCTAACTCTAACGAAGGTTATTAGGTTTAAACTTTCTCCTACACAAATCGGTGACTTACTGACTTGATAATACACTATTTTCTTTTAGAACTCAAAGAAACACTTAACCAGATATTGAAATAACAAGAAAAAGGTAAAAACGTAAAAATGTATTACTTCAGGGTGACAAAGGTAACTTCCATTTCCCCTGGTAAAAGACAACAGAAAAGGGAAGTTTTACAAGTTTCCTTCCAAAACACAGGCAAGAGAACTGAGGCTGATGCAGACGTCATTTGCCTCTGCTAGAGTACTGATCACGGACTATGGACCGTGTCCACTGGGGGCACTTGGTCACCTTCATTGTGCTCTTTGCCCACTTGGTAGGTGCGGAGTTGTTCCATGAAGCCGGGATTCGGACATATGGATGGTCTTGCCTCTTTCACCAACGATAACGCACTGGTGAAAGCGAGTTCTTCAGAACTCATGAGGAAGCCGATGACAATCGCAGCAGCCCTGGAAACCCCTGCATTACAGTGAACGAGAACCACGCCATCCTGAAACGCCATCAAACAAAATTCATATTAGACACCTGACAATGCACACATTCTTAGTAGACTACAAAGTAAATTACTTATCTATGTATTTACCAGAATAAATTTCATTGCAAAAAAATGAGAGAAAAAATTGCATTGAAAAAAAAAAAGTCATCCAACACCTGCTCTTACCCAGGACTGAAATGCTCAGATAATGTGGTTGGAATTCTGGAATGGCACCTTTTACAGGACTCAAGTTATCCAGCCCAATACACAGAAAAGCCTACTAACTTCTCATGTATATAAATAACTGGTGTTTTTCTTGAATTTCTATATACAGAATGACTGGCAAGGGAAAAAAATATGCCCTTAGGAATATTATTCTGTAAGGAATAGTACAAATTAAAGTAAATTAAATTGTTTTTAATTTAGTTAAAAGTAAATTAAAAATGTTTTTAACTCATTAGCAAATGATGGCATGGACAGCTTTTAACAACATGGAGTGGAAAAAGTAACTAGATACCAGCAGTGAGGTCAGTAAGTGAAGAGCCTCTCGGTAACCTGTAAACGATACTTCACAAGAGAAATGAACACAGTGTGGGTGGATGCTGATGCAGGCAATATTGTATTAATAATGAATGCAGTAGATCTGATGGGTCAGCATTGATACAGCCTGGCCTTGTGCAGGCTTTTAAAAAGTTAATGATCTGTAGTGAATGGAGCACATACCACAGAATCAAACTCTTCCGCAACTTTGTTTCTACTCTTCATTTGGTACAACACTTTTAGAAAAGGGACAGGAGGAAGTACATTATCCCCCAAGCAAAGTCACACTACTGTTGTTTTGAGTCACTTGGCTACTTTAGATTTACAAGGCAGCTTCCTCACATCTGTGTATCTGTGGTAAAATTTCTTTCTTGACCCATTATATCAAACTTGCAAGTGTGTCTCTTCTAAAGAATGATTAGCAACAAAACGACCAATACTTTAAACTTTCTTACATCAACAAGTCTACTTCAAACGTTTTCTTATAGATATCTATGATTCATTTTCAAGTTTTGTTTTTACACAAGGAAAGGGAAATAATGTTCACTATATACATCTATATATCAGGAAATGTTCTCACTTTTAAAAAAAATTATTTTTAAAAACAATATGTGTCTATGAACACACACACACAGTGTGCTTATGCACATATGGGTGCAGTGCACATGGAACCCAGAAGAGGGCTTCTGGAACTAGAGAAGGTTGTGAGCTGCCTAGGTCTAGCCTGTTTTGTTTTGTTTTGTTTTGTTTTGTTTTGTTTTGTGTTGTTTTGTTTTGTTTGTGTGTGTGTGTTCTGCTTTTTGCAGCACTGAGAATTAATTCTATAGCTTTGTACACACTAGGAATCGCTCCATCCCCAGTCCTTTTCTTTTTTAACTTTTCATTTTAAAGCAGGTTCTCCCTAAATAGCCCAGGGTGGTTCTGAACTCACCGAGTACTTCTCAGTCCTCCTGGCTCAACCTATTTTTTTTTTCACTTTGTACTAACAGCTAACTTTTTATGACTTAAAATGTTTAAAAATTATATTACAACTTAATAATTACTAATGTATATTACTCAGTTTAAAACAAATCTCCAGAAATCAAATTTGCCTGTTTGAAAATATTAATATTTTCCTTTTACTGTTATATAACTACTCTTCTTTTTTAAGATTTATTTTATTTTATGTATATTGCCTGCATGCGTGCATGTGCACCTTGTGTATGAAATACCTTCAGGTCAGGTTTGAATTCCCTGGAACTAGAGTTACAGATGGTTGTAAGGTACCATATGGGTGCTGGGAACTGAAGCTGTGTACTCTGAAAGAACATGTGCTCTTAACAGCTAAGCCAATCCTGTAGCCCCAATAACTACTTTCTATAGCTTGTAAATTACTTCCTTCCTATTTTTAAAAATTATTCTGTAGGGATCATATTGTTCTTGAAAGTATTTGTAAAAGAATGGTTGGATTTTTTTTCTTGTTCCCAGAGCTAAAAATAATGAAACAAAGTTTTCCTTTACCCTTACTACTATGCTACATCTGACAGACTTTTCTCTCTTCTTGGTGCAGCTGACCCTGGCTCTTGTCCTAAGAAGACTGCCCTTTCACAAGTGAGATAAGAGAGGAGAACTGTTTTACCCATCTTTGTATCTTTAGCATTAAGTTCAAATCTTAGCACATAGTAGGAATTCTGTAAACTTTTGCTAAGTAAATAAATCAATTTAGTGTACACTTCTGTGAAGAATTCTTGTTACGCTAAAAGTTCAGATTAAGGGAAGATGAGATGTCCAGTAGGTAAAGACACTGACTGTCAAATTTTCTGTCCTCATCTGGGGAAGGGTCATGGTAGTACAGACATTCATGACCAGTCAACATGCAAAAAAATAAGTGTCTGTGCAGTGCTCAGCCATAAATGGAACAAGTATGTAATAAACCCTCCCTTGAAGGCTCCAGGAACATTGTGGAAGGGGGGCAGAAAGACTGTAAGGGCCAGAAGTCGAGGGTGGGTGCAATAGTGTCATCTGAACATGACAGGACTGCTGCACTCATTAACCCACTGCAGCCAAGGCTGCCTGCACAAGATCAAGGCAGTCAACGCTCTAGCAGGGGTGGAGAGGGCTCAAGTCTTAACTCGGCTTGAGGAGCTATTGATAGATGACTGGTACTAGGGAAGGGTCAGTTTTCTTTATACATATAGGTTGACCATGGCAGTACTAATTGGACACAGTGAGTTATTTAAAAAACAAAGGAGGAGATGAATTTGAGAGGGGGATGTGGAAAGATCTTGGAGGAGTTGGAGAGGAAGTAGGGGAGACATATGATTAAAATACATTGTATCCATGTATGGAATTCTCAAAGACTAAATTTAAAATGCTATATTAAAAATAAAATTTTAAAAAAATAATGAAATACCTCCAAACTCTGTCAATCAGCAAAGCAAGACTTGGGTACAACTTCATTATCATGCTAAAGTCTGACAGCAAGCATCTGGCAGCACAGGTCACTTTGACAACATTCATGACTGTCCAGACTTGGTGCTGTAGTTTCAATATGATTTGAGCATGTTCCCTGAAGTTAATGGTTTCAAAGCTTGGGTTCATGTTGCAAGGTTAGGGGCTGATGGGACCCGGGGGTGTGTAGCTCTCTTTTGCTACTGTGTGGATTCTTCTTTCTTCCTCTCTTCTCCACCCCTTTTCTTCTGTCCTTTCAACCTCCCAACATTAGAGTTAAAAAAAAAAAAGTCTAGAAAGGAAAGGAAAGAGATCCCTGAATAAAGTCAGGGGTGGCATTATCTTTAGACTACTTTCTGCTGATTAGGGATGTTGAGTTCCATGGGGGGAGGGATTTGATCTTTCCTGTGAAGATAACTAATTCCTCCTCCTTCTAGTTCCTTCTTTGCACATGACTACTTAACAAACCACAATCAAAAACAGTCAATCAACAACCCACACCACCTCTCAGGGTCTGAGCTTTCATATGCCCTCTGAAAAGTCCCCAGAATTCCAACTGTCACACAATCACAAAAACTATACACAATCACAAAAACTATCTGCAGCTGGCAAAAATCAAACCCTAGCTAGAGCACAAGGCAAATCATAGCTGCTGTGCAGCAGTCCCATACCCCACACCTGAGATTAAAGTGAAACATATTCTTATATTTCTATGTTTGTTTTTTGTTGGTGGTGGTGGTGGTGGTGGTTTTTTTTGTTTTTTTTTTGTTTGTTTGTTTTTTGTTTTTTTTTTTTTTTGGTTTTTCGAGACAGGGTTTCTCTGTGTAGCCCTGGCTGTCCTGGAACTCAAACTCACCCTGTAGACCAGGCTGGCCTCGAACTCAGAAATCCGCTGCCTCTGCCTCCCAAGTCCTGGGATTAAAGGCGTGTGCCACCACTGCCTGGCTATTTCTATGGTTTTTAAAGAAATAAAAATTCCAAAATTGTCACTACAGGGATGTACTGTTTCGTGGAAGGTAGTAGCACAGTTACCATAGAGCTCCTGATTAGTTCTTAGAGGAGAACATTTTTATATAAACCCCACCCATAATCTTGCCTGTGGATGTGATATTGCTAACAATAAACAAGTCTGTAAGTATGAATTCTCTACTACTATTCTGTATTAAAGATGTATACATATTCTATTATATATAATAACTAAAGGAATTAATTAGAAAATTATAAACTTAATTATGATAAGAATGTAAAAAGAGAATTATTTATTGACAAAAAAATTTCATTTCAAGATACAACTTAGGTAATAACCATCCTAGAAGCCCTGCCTATCAGAACATTGATGTAGATCAAAAATTAAGATTAAAATAATATGCTGTGTTGGTCTTCTAAAGTCACAAAACCAGCACACAGGTCCTGTATTAGGATTCCATATAATCTCGGTATAAAAATATGCATTCTTCCTTAAAATTCCATGGTTCAAAACACATGAGGATTGGAGATATGGTTCAATTGGTACAGTAACTTACTTGGTTTGAAAGCCTTGAGTTCCATCCCAGTGCAACATAAAAACAAATATGGTAATGCACACCTGTAATTCCAGCACCCAGATAGTGGAGGCAGGAGGATCAAAAGTCCAAGATCATCCTTGGCTTCAATAGCAAGTGTGAAGCTTAACCTAAGGTAAGCTTATTGGGACCCTGCCTCAATAAATTCATCAATAAAAATGTAAAGCACAGATACACGGTCTCTGTGCCTTAGTCATTAAAATGAATGAATATTCATCATCATGAATACACTCACAAGACTGGAGCAGACTGTACCCTTTGGTCCATCTGGTTTCTTATGAATCAGTCAGAATGTAGGTCCCAATACAGCCTCCGAGAATATTTACATTTTTGCAGAGAAAAATTAAATTACGTGAGGGAGTTTATCTCCTAGTGTTTCTTGGTAAGAACTCAGAACAAAACTAGATTAATATAAAAAGTACACTTCTCATTAAGAAAGAAAAACCAATTAGAGAATGAAAACCTTAAGGATTTAGTGAGTATTACTGGAGGGAAGTTTTCACAATGGCTCTTCACAAATTTCATTGCAAAATGTACAAAGACTGGGTGTAGTTCTATGTTTTTGAATTCCTACTTTTGAAGAACTGTATCAAAATAAACCTTACCTTCAGTTTTGCTTGCTCAATAAACTCAAAACATTCTGGAAAATAAGACAGGATATTGGTTTCAGGCACATCCAGTATAGAAATGGTCTTATATGTAAACTCAGTGAGGAAAGCATTTTCAACTCCATATGCAACGTTGAGAATATGAGTCACCTTAAAGGAAAGAAAAAAAGATGAATTTTAAGTTCTATGAATCAGATGACCTAAAAATAGACTATAATGTTAATTTCTGTAATGAGAATAATCAGAAATCTAACGACTCCCTGAATGATACATCATCTTTGTGCCCTTTCCTCTGCCTCATCCCTCAACAGCAATTCTCTTTTATAATGCATGCACAGCCCTTTTGTTGTACTTCAACTCAATAAAAATAAAGACCAGGTTGAACTTACTAACATGAGCACTGAGTGAACCTTAGAAGAAAGTAGTTAAAATAACTACTGGGGAAAAAACAAAACAAGCAAAAAACCCCTCAGTGTATACTCATACAAAAATTTTGGTGACAAAGGGGTGGGTTTTGGTTGATAGGCTGGTTTGGTTTTTTGTTTGTTTGTTTGTTTGTCTGTTTGTGTTTGTTTTTGTTTTTTGTTTTTTTTCTGCAGTGAACCACAGGTGGTAGAGCTGATGAAGGACCCAACCTAAAAGATTGTTTTTCCAATAAAGCCTACCTATACTATAGTACTCAGGTAGAAAACTGTATCGATGCTGGCCTTGGGATGGGATGCCCTTTATACTAGGGATAGTAAGAATAGTTTGCTTCTCCTAGGCATTATTAAGAGGGTAACTGTGTAGAGAGCAAGCAGGATCTGATAGAGATGCTCTTGTTTCCTACCCCAACAATGAGAAGCTGAATGTGGACACATGTGCCATTAAAACAGGAGCAGTGACAACGACAACAACAACAACAGAACGCCTTGCCAATGCAAAGGTTTTTCAGATTCCATTTGCCACATTACCCTGAATAGCACTGATCTGTTACTGGAAATAAGGCTGAAACTTTCTCTCATTTTGTTGAATTGTTGGTGTGCAAGGGTCCTGGTAGGAGATCCAGGCATTCTCACGTGTTTATACAACTAAGGGCCATTATTTCTCATTATCAGGTGGGAATAAGTGTAATAAAACAAAGAGAAGCTAGATTAAACACAGCAGTAAATTGACAGGTACAGTATCAGACTAGCTAATGAACTGATCCGATATTCTCCTTTGGGAAATAACTGCAAATAATTATCACATCACATTTTTATTCTCCATTTGATCAATTTTTGTTTCCCTCAGAGCGGTGGGTGACAACGTCTTAGTGGTGATAATATAAGGCAGACAGTGGTGAGAGCTAAGAGGCTAAGGGAGTGGACTCCAACAGGAGGAAGAGATCACCCAGTGTACCACTTGTCTCAACCCACACCAGTGTGTGGAGAGGAGAGGTGGCAGTTGTGCGTAGCTATTCTCTCAGCCTGAATGCTCTTCACATCCATATCATGGTTGGCAGTTATGAGGTCTCAGTGAGATGAACGCATTCTCAGAGAAATCAGCTCACTGGAGCTACCCTACCAGTCTCTTGCTCCCTTGTTTGATTCATTCAGAGGAGATAATCTCATCTGAAAGAGTTACATGGCAACCTTTACATCGTCCCATCAGATCTCACCATCTTACTTATACCCTTTCTTTATCTGCCTTACTCCAATAAACGATACATTCCTGCATCCTTTGCAGGCTCTTCCCAGTATATGCACCTGGAACCATGCTACTATTTCTGCACTTTTCTCTAGTGACTTCCCAGAATCTTAAACATACTCAACGCCTTCCCAGTGTCACCCAATTTCTCTTAGTTGCAGTTCTACTGCTGGGAAGAGACACCACAACCAAGGCAACTCCTAAAAGAAACCATTTAACTGGGGGCTTGCTTACAGTTTGGCAGCTGCCAGCCAGCCATGGTGCTGGGGCAGTAGCTGAGAGCCCACATCTGATCCACACTGAGAGAAGGCGTGAGACTGTGCCTGGTACGGGCTTTTGAAATCTCAAAGCCCACCTCTAGTAAGACATCTCCTCCAACAAGGCCACACGTCCTAATCCTTCCTAAACAGTCCAGCAACTAACTAGGAATCCCCTTTTCCCTATAACTAACCAATCACTGAATTGTAAGGATTTGGACATCTAAGAATATCTCAAATCCACTACTATCATCTTCTCTGAGAGTAATAAAATAACTTCACAGTTGGCCTCCCCATCTCTAGCTCAAACAATTCCCACAATCTATTTTCCATGCTGCTTCTATGAGAAATCATTTTTTGGATGCACATGTAATCCTGTTATTTCCCTAGATAAAACCTCTCATTGGCTTTCTGCCATGTTCTGGATCACGTCCCAACAACTTGCACTGGTTTACCTGGCCCTCCATGGTCTGTTTTATGCTTACCCTTCTCGCTCAAACCCTTCACTCTCACACTATTTTCTGAACTCCATTTCTGTCCCTGGAAACGTCAGCCTTTCTCTTCTCTAGCTTTGGGGTGTCTATACACCCCATCTCGTCTATCTGAACAATCCTATGTCTGTCCCTTTCTCAAACCCATCAGAGAAAAATTGAAGATCTGTGACAAGCAGAGATGAGGGAAGTCTGCCCCCCCCACCCCGCTTCAGCAGAGGCAAGAAATAAGCACGGCCAGAGTCAAGTTCTTGAGAGTGTGAAAGAACCTGAGAAGAACACGAAACTGAAAGGATGAATTTCAGACCTGTATATTTAAAATAGATGCAATTATTTTGGCAATGCTACTAAAATGATAGCCCAAATGATACAGATTAATCCAAATAATGCAAGAGTGAGCAATACAATTCTTTCCATGGAAGAATGGGCATCTTCCTGTATGTGGTGCCAACACTCAAATATCCATTTTCTTCATTTACCTTGTGCTTTCTCAGAAGCTCCAGATCGTGAGCAGCATCCTGTGACCCTGAGGAAATAAATCATATTACCTTGAACATAAATAACAATCATGAGAACTTTGTGTAATGATTCTCTTAAAAATCACAACAGGGAGTGGATCAACATAGGAGGACATCAGTTTTTAGGAGGGAAATTTGGTAATATTTATCATGGAAAATTATCTTTTATAATCTATGGACTTGCCTATTTTGAATAATTTATACTAAAGTTATAGGTGTTACAGTGATTACCTCTCATAATGTTTAACACATAACAAATAAAAACAAAACATGCAAGCAAAACAATTCCAAGTTCAACAGAGGTGCTCAGGTAAATAAAAGATAACCATAGTGAGATCTGTACAGCAAAATGTACCACTAGAAATAAAAATTAAAATAGGTAAGGCATGGGACACATGTTCTCAATAAATTAGGAAATAAAATGTGTTTCAGGGGCTTGGGAAATGGCTCAGCAGGAAAAGTACTAACACAGGACCTGAGTTTAGATCCCTAATACACACATAAAGTCCAGGCACGCTGTGAAATAATAAAAAACAAAAATACATATTGCTGAATAACAAAGTACACCGAACAAAACATTAAACACGGGGTTACAATAAATAACCCTTTCTTTTATAAAAGAAAAAAGAGTATTAAGGAAATCAGACACCCACAAAGTTCAGGGCAGCTAGTGAAGGAACACTTCGTAGCTTTGAGGTTCATTGGCTCCCACGCACACACCATGTACCACTAGCGCCATGCCTCTCACGGTCTCTTTCTATTGAAGATGGCTCTCTACTCTCCCACACTTGAAGACTGGCTCTAGTTAATAAGCAAATTACTACCCAAGAATGACAAGAGTATAGCAGGTTTCACAAATAATCAAATAGGATATTCACCGTAAAGGATTTCAAGAATTTTACTTTTCTGTGGCTCCATTTCCATAAACAATGCTTCCCCCTCCCCTTCCATATCTAGGAATCAGCCAGCTTCTCTTACATGATAACCACAGGTACACAGTGATTCCAAACTGAGGGGTTCCTTATTAAACCTGATAAGCAGAATGTGTATTCTGCTTCCTTCTGCTTAGAAACTGGACTTCCAAAATATAAGCATATGGTAAATATGGATGGTGGGTTCAGAAACCGTCCTCTCACCATCCTGTGACTATCAGTTTGAAATGCTTCATGACTAAAAGGTGATTCTCAGTTTTCTATATAGGAAGTTTTAACTGTGGTGGGTGGGAAAACAGATTCAGATTAATTTATTTTAGTTTAATAGTTTAGTAAACATATCTTTAAACTAATTATTCTATTCTGTTTGTATTGTAAAATTGTAAAGATTATATCGTAACTTAAATGAAATTATTTCCCTTTTCACCCCACACTGACTTCCTTGGTAATTCTCTGTGTCTCTCTGTCTCTCCATCTGTCTCTCTGTTCCTCTCCCTCCCTCCCTCCCTCGCTCCCTCTCCCTCTCCCTCTCCC